TTAGAAATTTGACCCAGCTTTTATGTTTGGTATTGAAAGGTCTTTCTGTAAAATTCTTTATTCAAAGCTTCTTTTTCTCACTGAACAACAACAACAACAACAACAAAAAAAAAAAGAAAAGTTGTTTTTAGTCAGAGTATGGATCTAGGATTTAATTTGACACTCAAAGTGAAGGTGAAAAATTATATTTCCTGTTTTCACATTTAGGAAACTTCTGATCAACATTCTTGAACTTGATGCTAATTAAGCTTCCAAGAACTTCAGCTTTCCCCTTCTTAACCATTTAAAATCTTTCTTTGCTTTCCCTCAGAGTCCCTGGTTTTAACTTGAAATAGCTTAAAGTAGAAATTTTGTTAGCTTTTTAATGTTTGGATTTGTGTGTGTTCTGTTTTTAACTTTCAACTTGAGTTTTAAGATCATCAATCAAAGATTTTTCTTTCAAGTCGGTGGCACTGCTCTCAATTGCAGGACTTAGAGGGTCAGCATTTCACTCATGCTATTAAAAAAAAAAAACTTAGAAAGAGAGTATTTTAGGAATTTGAGCTCCATGGATCTTTTCATCACATACCTACATTTTGAAATGAACAAATAAATTAGATAAGAAACCCAGGAAATATTCTCCTACAGTTTCCCACCTCTCCCTACTTTGTTTTCTTTCTTTTTTTTGGGGGGGGGAAATAAAGGTAAATTATCTATTCCTCTATCAGATTTCAGCAAGCCACAACGAGGCTAATTGTGGCTTTATATATTTCAAAATACTTTCACTTATTTATGTCTTTCATTTAAATGTTTTCTTGCACACATTTTTTTCCACTTTTGAACTGTAAGAATGTGGCTCATCTCCCCACATTCTGTAGCTCCATTGGACATTATGATCAGCTTGTGCTTTTATCTTTCAGATGGCATTTATTTGTGAGGTATATATGTCTGTGTATGACTGGAATTTGTTTTCATCTGCCACATAATACTATTTTTTGTAGGTTTCAGTGAAGCAATGAAAACAAAGTATTGGACATTTGAAAGGAGCTGTTACAAAATTGCCTATACTCCCTCACCTTGTACACCAAATTCAGAGCAAATTGGTAAAATATTATGATTAATAATGCCAATTAACTTCATTGAATTTAGTTTTCAAGATTTTGCTTCCAGATAGGATCCTATAATGGATAATATTATAAATTTAAACCTTTACCTTTACAGGATTTTTAAGAGATTGGCTCAGTGCCAGTACATAATCAACTTTGCCCAGATTGGAGCAAATTCCCTTGATGAGCTTTCTGACCAGATGAGAATTTGTGTTGGGTGAAATGAATCAGGTGTAGACTGAAATGAACTCAAAGTTCATTTCTGAATTTCATTCGCAAGTGTGTCCAGGGTTAGGTGTTTTAATTTCATATTTTGGTTCATATTCAGGCGTGGGGTCTACTTGTAGGCAGAGCTTTGTAGATGTTGTTGCAGTCTGCCATTTAATATATGCTTAACTGAAAGGTTTTTCTAACTGCCTGCCTACCACAGTTCCTCCCTGCCCCCTCTGCTCCTGTTTCTTCCCATGTGAAGTATCATATATTTTGTTAGGAAGAAAAGCCCTTTTGGAAATTGCCTGTTTCATAAATTGTCTGGTGACACAAAGGGGTTGAATGCTATCTTCTTGTCTCATTTATTTTGAAAACTTTGCTACTGAACTCACCTTAATCAATGAGCTCAGTGTTGTCTCCAATAAGTTATGTGTTGGATATATTGATTGGGAGGGATTTTAGAAAACCCGTCTGGGGTTTATAATGTCAGCAGTGTTTTGATTATGAAAAGAGTTGGAACCTGGGGACATGGAACCAGGTGGCGAATGTCCTAAAGCCAGTGGTGACATGGTGGACTGGTTCCCTCCTGGGATCTAGTTCATGCCCTGCACTTTAACTGTGGTGACTGGCTACTATAGATTCACTTTTTTTTGCTCATTAAAATGTTAAAAAATCAAACTGTACATTAAAAGATTTGTGAAAATATAAACTTGGGAATTGATCTGGAGAACTGGCATACAATCCTTCCCACCCCTCGACTTCCCAATGAGGTCATTTACATTTCATCAGCTGTGCTGCATCTCAAGATCCGATTTATGTGGCAGTACTTGAAGTTGTACTGAGGCTGGTTGTCTGAAAGAGCTTGTGTTTCAAGGGAGAACAGAAAAATTGCCTTCTATGAAGAAAGTTCCCTAGCCAAAGATGCAGATTCTAGAGAGAAAAAGAGGCTGGTAAACTGGTTTAATGATCGTTTTCTTAGTAAAGTTGATATTGAAAGATTCTGGCACACTCTGCCATAACTAGAATGCTCAAAATAAATTTAAATCAGGGGTTAAAAACCCCTCCCTCCCTTGGAGAGTGGCCTTTTCATATTTGAATAAGTGAGTTTTTCTTTTGTCAAAGAGGATGAGGTAAGGTAATTGAAAGGAAAGCATTGATATTAAGAAATGTGGTTTATTTTATCAGTTTTTATTTACAGAGAACAGGCTTGTTTCCACTCCCTCATCTTGTTCTCTCCTTCCCAAACTGAGAGGTAGATATTTCAATTCTGATTGATATCATGTGTGAATATGCCTAGCACCAAGTTTTCCTCTGACAGCACACCATCAACTAGTTTGACTTAAATTGGAATATCAAGCTCTTGCAATATCATAAACATGGAGAAACATATTGTAATGTACAAACGTGTCTACATTTGCCTATATTTCCTTTTCTCACCCCCCACCCCATTGCTTAATTAGACTTATAACTATTTTCTTGGGTAAAAAAGGAAGATTGATGGGAGATGGGTTACACTTAATCTGTTTGGTAGTTTGATATTCTTTCTAGTATTATCTGACAAGTTCAAGATTGGATTTTACTCTTGACCATAGAAAGTGGTAAGCAGTTGCTGTATTATAGTGAGTAATAAGTTGGGCTTATTAGATTTCTTGACTGCTGTAGGGCATGATGCTTTCTCATAGCCATGGGGGGTCTTTTCTTTAAAAAATCTTTGAGGCCTTTTGCCAGCATAACTCCAGCACAGAGTAGAGTACAGAAGTGCTTTATGCACCTAAAACTTTTGAGGGGTAAAAGATAACTGTCTTTGTAGCTGATATTGGCAGTGAGTGAGAGCTTAGAACTGAATTTTAAAGAATAATGAAGATAAGAGATACTTTGGGATGTTATTTGAAAGTTGACATAGATTATTTTTGCAAATAAGTCATAAGAGTTTTGTGTTTGTGAATTATAGTCTATTTTCTAATTAACTAAAACTTAAAGTGACTGTTGTATATGATTTTTTTTCTAATACTTGATGTAATGACATCACACAGAAATTGCTCTTGAGGTGATTCTGTGAGACTAGTTATTGTAATTTATTTAAACAACTGGTTTAAAAGCAATATGTATGGGCCTCTGAATGCCACATTACAAAATTGAATTTTTTATAAGTAATGCCTCTTAGAATATGCTGAGGTATTCTTATCTACTTTATTTTTGAGTTTTCTATTCATTACTCTTTCATGACATGCCTTAACAGTGCTGTGATACACATAGTACCAGTTCAAGATGATATTAAAAAATAGGATATGCTCAATTGAATTATGTAGGCGGAACATGCTCTGGCAGAGCAAGTCAATGTGCTTTCTGCTTCATTGAGTGGGTTATTAGATTGATGTGGTTTATTTCTTGAATGATAGAACTGGTTTTAAAAATAAATGAAGCGAGAAGCATCAATTCAGTTAGCATTGATAATTCATTATTATTGGTTAGAAAAGTGCTACATTTGTAAACCGATCTTTAATTTATCACTTGGGTTAGGATTTGCAGTGGGCTGGTTTGTTTTAATTTGAATCAGCTTCTCAGTGATTGAAAAATGTGTTCTTCATTTTGTCTTGGAAGCCAAGATTTTAAATAGTTAAAAAGCAAATCAAATGCATAAAAGGAATACTTTTTAAAAAATTTATAACATTGGTCTATGAACATATGATAAACACAACTGTGGGCTATCAAAGCCTGCAGTTAAATTAAGTCAAGCTAAAGAAAGTCCTATGAAGAAAGTAGTAATTACGTGTCTATATGTTTATATATGTGTTTAGCTATGTGTATATATGCTACATAAGTGAATGGGCCTGTTGGGAAAAGCCCAAACCACTATACACTGTCTGAGTTCCAGTGTTTATTTTTGTTTTAATGTAAGAAGATTGCCTTTTATGAAAACAAGTCTTTGAGATGTCACTCTACTTTTTGTGTCTCTGTCCTGAATATTGTGCTTGGTTTTATTTACTTTGATATTTGTTTAAAAAAAGGTTTAGACTGGTAGTTTGCTTTAGATTTCCATAAATTATGAATAGGTAACATATTATGATAGTGGTATTTAAATAAAAATAGTATACACTTAGAGTGGTTACAGTTTACAGTTTGATTCCAAAATTAATTTCGGCCCCAAATGGCAACTTCTTTGTAAATGAAGTTTTGAACTTTAAAATATGTAGTTGATAATGTTCAGGGACAATTATCTTCAAGTTGGCTTTCTATTCTGCTGTGATTTGGCCTATTGATATTGGGAAGTGTTGTCTAATCCCGGCCTCCTCTGTTCCTAGGTAACAGGCAAAAACAGTGCCAGCAACAGCAGCCCTGCCAGGCCAAACCCATGTGGCTCGGTGTTATTCACTCTGATCCATATGGTCAGGCTGGAGATGGTCCCTGGAGGGGTGTTAACACTCAGCAACCCAACCGCCTCCCTCCCTTCAGAGCTTTCCTGCATGGCTCCTGCTGCTTACCCATGTGTGATTCTTGATTAATTTTTCATTTTTAATGAAGTTTGATCATGTTTATTATTTCTCATGATTGACTGCCTGGTACTCCTCCCATGTAATTGATAAAGCCCATATTTCTTCATCTGTCTTCTCTTTCTTCAGGGTAAAGTTGTTAGATTGTGCTGTGGTTAATGTTAGATTTATTGGTCCCATTAGATGTATAAATTATCTCTCCTTCTCTCCACAGGAAGTTCTACAGACTTTGACCAAGTTTTGTTTCCCCTTCTATGTGGACAGGTAGTGTCCGATTTTCAAACTTTATTAGAAAAAAAAATGTTAATGAATCTGCTATAGAAAATAAAAACCATACCATTCTTAACATTCTGTCTGTTTAACCATCATTTTAAAATATCTGAGTTCCAAGGAGAGTTGTTATATTCTCCTTTCCTGGGGATTTTATAGACATTATCAAAAAGTTTAAAGCTTAGAGCTTTGTATTAGTTAGTTTGTGACATGTATTTTATATTGCATTAATTTTTTGATTTTGGTTATCAGACTTAAACCATGATTAAGAATGGTTGGTGTTTAATCCAGGGCTGTTTAATTTTTATTTAAATCTGAATATATTTGGCTTAAATAATATTGTATTACTTTATGACCTTATGAATATTGTATAGATTTTGTTTTCCTAGACTTCACCTTATAATTTAAATTAACACAGGTCTATCTTGTTTAAAGGTATTTAGCTAATTAAAAGGCATGTTGCTAAATAGTGTTTTACATTTTGTTTTGATGGCCAAGAATAGTAATATCTCTGGGGAAATCAGCATTTTTTTATAGGTTTCTAGACTAAAAAATACACAAATATGTAAACATTTCCCTAATATTTACATTATGATAAACTGTTTCTTGAAGAGGTACAAGTATAGGAACTCTTAAGGTAAATAAAATAATCTGAGGGTTTTTTGTTGTTGTTTGTTTTTGAAATAAGCCATTGTTTAATAGTAACAATTTTAGTAAAGCTTTTTCTTCTATTTTATAAAAACTATAATTTACTAATTATATTAGTACAGTGAAAACACAGTGATCTTTATCTTTTTTCAGGAAATATCCCTCTGTTTTTCACTATAGTTGAAACATTATGTTTTGGAAGCATTCATTTGTTCTCTTGATTTTTGTCTTTTCTTCAGTCTTAATGGAAAATTGAATTACAAAATCGTACATGATGTTTTAAAAATCCCACTTTTAGTGACAGGTTGTAGGAAATAACCATTATAAGTAATTTTATAATATGTTCCAAGAAAGCTATAAAATGTGCCCATCTTCAGGAAGGTTCTATTGTGTATTTCAGTGTACCCAAGCAAGGCAGGATCCGAAGGATTTTAGTCTTTTATAGTACATGTGGGTAGTGTGCTGCTTGTCGTCTCCCACCTCCTGCCCCGTAAACCTAAAAGTAGTGTGAGATGGGAATTGGTAGCCAAAGGAGTTTTAAAAAGTACTAAAAAGCAACTCTGGAAGGTTGCCAGCCACTTAATCACTGTTCTCCCTGGTTCTAACATGTTATTTTTTAAGCCAATCAACCATTGTAGTATTTCCAGACTCAGATCTTTTTAAACCCTGGTACCAGGGATGTTTTAGTAGCAGATTTATGCTCAAAACAGAGTATCCTTAATTTTATGAGGGTCAGTCATTGTAATGAGAGTCCTCTTGTTTCTTCTTTATCCTAGTCCTAAAAATAGCAAGGAAGTAGGGTTTTGTTTAGAGATGTTTAATGCAAACTTCACATTTATATGTATGATTTAGCGATACATGAAATCTCCTCCAGTCACTTATAAAATGTATTACAAATTATGGCAAGGACATATTTATACAAACTAATAAACTGAAATGTTTTAAAGTAGTTAGATGTTTAACAAAGGAAAATTAAGAACACATTTTTAATGTGATTTCTTGTTAGAGTAATGATCTGTTTTGGCTAGGTGTTCCTTAATTGGCTTTGTGAACTAATTTTGGAAGATAGGCACAATGAGATTGTCTCCCTTTAACCCCCAACACATACCACACACACTTCTGTTTCTCTTGCTTACACTACATGCATACCTCTCTGCTCACCTACCCGTCTGGATGACTACATTCTGACACTGAAGAAAAAGCAGTTTGTTCAGTGATAATCATAAGTCTTTTTTATTACCAGTAATGTTGGGAACCTTTTCATTGTCATTGGAAACATATTTTTCCTCTAAAATGAATTTCTTCAAATTACCCTCTCCTAATCATGTTCCTCACGTGGTTTTGATAAAATGACTTTGGAGACAGAGTTATCCTTTTATGCATATATTTTATCCTTGCCATGTTCAATAGTTTTTCTTACATTGTATTATATTATATACCCAATGAGTATTGATAAATTCTATTGATACCAGAAACAAACAAAAACCCACCCACTGTGTTTTGGTGACTGTATTTCATCTCTTTTGTTTCCCTGCCTCTAACTTTGACATATGTTAATGCAGAAGAGATAATCATAATTAAGTTCACTTACAAGACATGCAAAGGATTTAATGTTACAATTTTTTTTATTAGTTTGCAGTTAGCAGTGTCAAATGGATATGTCCAGATTCAGAGGTCCACAAAACTCCCTAAGTGTGTTTATGGTATTGTTAGACTTAGAAAATATGCTAACATGGGAGATGAGCAATGCCCCAGGTGATTGCATTCAAAAGAGAAAGCTTCCTAATCTTTTTAGTATCTGTGCTTTTCTACCCTAAGGAACAGTAATACAACTCTCTGACATCTCTAGTCTGTATCAAGAGTGGGATTTTCACAGTCGTCATCAAATCACCCGTTAACATTGACATCTTGCTGTCTGTCTCTTGTGTTGTTTTAAGATTTTTCTTTCTGAAACTAGGACTTATGAAAAATAACAATGCTAGTAACTCTTCAAAGGAAAGTGCATTCTCTTGTATTATTTCATTTTATCATCCTGCCATTTTTTCTACCAGGATGATAGAACAAGATGAGATAAGAACAAGTACCATTATCTTTTTTTGTTTGTTTGTTTGTTTGAAATGAAGTGTAAGTTGTGGGGAAATTGTGACTTATCCAAGGTCCTTTTAGGCTACCAGTGCATCCCAGATTCCCATCCCCACAATGAGTACATTTTTCAGTAGATCATTTTGTGGGAAAGGGCAATCACCAAACAGAGAGGGAGGAAAGTAGCATTTGCACTCCTAATTGATTCTAGTCACTGTACTGTACACTCTTGTCACTCCCTCACTTGTTCTTTCCCAGTAACTATAAGAGATAGATGTGTCCCTCCTCTCCCCAGAAGAGCAAAGGAAGGGTCAAGATGTAGCATTATGTTGGGTAATGTGCAGGATATAGAAATGGTCTCAGACTTGTAACCCTGTTCTCCATGTGTTTCCCAGTCTAGTCCAAGAAGTATTATGAAGGCATTTTAAATAATATTCAAAAGGATGGGAGGTTATAGAATTCTGAAATGGTCAGAGAAAACTTGATATGGTGGGTGAGACTCATGTTGAGTCTGCCAGGCCAGCAAGAAGTGGATAAGTGGAAGGGGGAGCCTAACTAACACCCCATATGCACTGCAGAGCAAAGCAGAGGAGAAACTCCCAGTGAGATGTTCAGTCAGAGCAGATGGAGCCTGCTGGGGAGAGGGTGACGTGTACCACGGTAGCTTGGGCTTTGGCCACAGGAAGCCTTGAAAATGTGTGGGAGCAGGACTGCAAAATTTTAAAGCTGAGATTCATCTGGTTCAAGCACCCCATTTTATGAAAGGGAAGCCAAGATCTACAGAGGGGAAATGACTTGCTTATTGTCACAACTAGGTAATTACAGAGCTGGGAAAGAACAGGTCCATCTATTCCCAGCCCAGAGTTTTTTCTACCCTTCTCTGTCTTTGAAGCTTTTGGTGGAGGGGAGTAATGAAGTATATGTGCTCAGTTCTCTCAGTATTGCTTTCAAAAATTTTCATTATTATTGATAAAAGCAGTCTCTCTAAATAAAAGATGTGTCCCATTCCATATTGTGGTTGGTACTTCTTTGCACTTGACAACTGACACCCAGCTTCAGGTAGTCAGAGCACTCACTGAATGATGGAAAAGCTATTGCTTTCTATGCTTGTGCTTATCCTCTTTCAGAACTCAATCAGTTACTATTCAGTTGCTCTGTGAATTATACTTGTACCCACCAATGACAGGAGTGTGAAATGAAATGACATCATCTTTTTAGGGGCAGAGGCACCATTTAATGATTTAGGATGTCACTACAGATGCAAATGTGGTTTAAATGCTGCTTATCTTTTTTAAAAAAATTTATGTATAACAGCGGAATGCATTACAATTACATCTATAGAGCACAATTTTTCATATCTCTGGTTGTGTGTATAGTATATTCACACCAATTCATGTCTTCATACATGTACTTTGGATAATAATGATCATCACATTCAATCATCATTAATTACCCCATGCCCAGTCCCTTCCCCTCCTACCCCTTTGCCCTATCTAGAGTTCGTCTATTCCTCCCATGCTCCCTCTCCCTATCCTACTATGAATCAGCCTCCTTATATCAAAGAAAACATTTGGCATTTTTTTTTGGGAATTGGCTAATTTCACTTAGCATTATCTTCTCTAACTCCATCCATTTACCTGCAAATGCCATGATTTTATTCTCTTATTGCTGAGTAATAATCCATTGTGAGTACCACATTTATTTTTTTATCCATTCATCTACTGACGGGCATCTAGGTTGGTTCCACAGTTTAGCTATTGTGAATTGTGCTGCTATAAACATTGATGTGGCGTGTCCCTGTAGTATGCTGTTTTTAAGTCCTTTGGGTATAGACCTAGGAGAGGGACACCTGGGTCAAATGGTGGTTCCATTCCCAATTTTCCAAGAAATCTCCATACTGCTTTCCATATTGGATGCACCAATTTGCAGCCCCACCAGCAGTGTATGAGTATACCTTTTTCCCCCGCATCCTTGCCAGCACTTTTTGTTGTTTGTCTTCATAATAGCTGCCATTCTGACTGGAGTGAGATGAAATCTTAGAGTGGTTTTGATTTACATTTCTCTAATTAATTGCTAGTGATGATGAACATTTTTTTCATGTGTTTGTTGATTGATTGTACGTCATGTTCTGAGAAATGTCTCTTCAGGTCCTTGGCCCATTTATTGATTGGGTTATTTGTGTTTTTTGGTGTCTAGCTTTTTGAGTTTCTTTATATACCCTAGTAATTAGTGCTGTATCTGATGTGTGAGGGGTAAAGATTTGC